TTTGGCCCAGGTGGAGGACAGTTGAGAGGAGCATGAGGCATTCCTAACTGAGAGCAAAGCCAAAGCAGGTGCTCTGCAGAAGGAAGGACAAAGCTGCCCCAGGAGTGATAGAGAAAGTGAAAGAAAGATCCAACTTAGTACTGACAAGAGCAATAATGAGTACTTGTTGAATGCTTACCACGTGCCAGGCTCTGTGCTAACAGCACTCAGTGTTCCTGAGGAACACCCAGGCACCTGTGATCCCTCTGGTACTCTCCCTGGACACACAGCATGCCACCATACAATTCCTGAGCACAGCCCTGGTTCAGCCGAAGTGAGAGGCAGCTACTCATGTACCTTCTGTGTTGTGGCTCATCCAAATGTGGGGGAAAATTAGTCCATGTCAGCTAGAAATGCAAATTAACATATTTTTGTTCATTGAATGACTAAAGACTAGAAAGACATACTGGTGAGGGGGTGGTAAAACAGGTGTTCTCAGGCTCTGTTAATGGTAGTGAATATTAAAAGAGCAGTTTCTGAAGAGTGACTGCAATGTCTACCAAGAGCTTTGAAAATTTTTACATATACTTTGATGTAGATATTTCACTTCTGATGAACCGTCTTAAGGAAATAATATAAACTATAGACTATAATAATATGCCTTGCAACATTATCTTAATAGATAGTCTAATTGTCCTACAGTTGGAGCATGTCAATATAGGATATGGTTAGATATTGTTCAGTCATTAAAAGCAAAGTGTATGAAAATTTTTTCATGGCATGGGAAGATACTTACATAGTCCTTTAGTGACATCTTTTCCTGGTGACAAGATCTAGAGCCTTCTAGGAATCATCCCAATGTAACTCTCATTCTTTACTGCCAGTGACATCACCCCCACCTAAGCCAACCCAGCATTGCATTCCCCTAGCCATAGTGATTGTCTGGGTCATGGGAGATGTCCCAATGTGACTAACTGGGACTTCTGGAAAACAGGATTTTGCTCCTGTTTTCAGACCTGCTGCAGATTTTTTGTCAAGACACAGATAGAGCATGAAGACCACACAGTTCTGAGTGGAGAAAAGATTACAGCTTAGTCTGTACTATGGACCAGGCTGTGCTAAAGCCAAACGTTTGCTGCACTTGTGAGCTCTCATTAGTTAGGCATAATCCATTTTTCTTAAGCTTGTTTGGATTCTGCTTTTCTGCAACCTGAAATAAAAGGAGCTCTTAATTGTGTTAAATATACATAACATAGATGTCACCATTTTTAAGTAGTTTGGTGGCATTTAGTACATTCACATTGCTCTGTAACCATCACCACCATCAATCTCCAGAACTCTTATCACCTTGCAGAATTAGAACTCTGTACCCATTAATCAATAATGTCCCATTCCTCTTTCTCCTCTGCCCTTGGCAACCACCATTCTACTTCTTGTCTCTATGTACTTGACTACTCTAGGTACCTCATATAAGTGAAATCACACAATATTTGTTTTTTTGTGGCTGGCTTATTTCATTTAGCATGTCTTCAAGGTTCATCCATGTTGTGGCCTATGTCAGAATTTCCTTCCTTTTTAAGGTTGAATTATATTCTATTGTATGTATATACCACATTTTGTTTATCCATTCATCCATCAGTGAACACTAGGGTTGTTTCTACTCTCTTGGCTATCGTAAATAATGCTGCTATACACATAGGTGTACAAATAACCCTTTGAGACCCTGCTTTTAATTCTTTTGGGGATGAACACAGAAATGGAATGCTGGGTCATAATGGTACACAATTTGGGAGAGGAAAGAAGGGGAGAGAAGAGGTGAATTGTGGCTCAATTAAGGCAGCCCTTCCAAGAGGCCCTAGCAATGGAAAGCTGGTGGCAAGAAAAGAAGGAGGGGTTCTTTTGTAAGAGGACCCCTACATCTTCTAAGAAAGATAAAACAAGACTTAAACTTTGTTCCCTAAGACCTAGAGTTAAGGGGATCTATGCAGGTGGACCAAAGGCCCATTTGTACAGAAAGGTAACAAGGTGTCTGAAATCACACCACATTGAGGAAAGTAGGAGTCTGGGCTGATCACCTAGACTCCCCTATAAAAACCCAGAATTTTATAAGAGAAGGCAAAATTGGATCACAGGGTGACTACAGCTGGCCTCTTCTCTTGACCCAGCCACCTGCCACAAAGACGTGCCTTCTGGAGAATGGCTAAACCTGGGGGTGTGCCTAAAAATGCTGTTACCTTGGTACCCATAGGTAGACATCACAAAAACCTGATAAACAACAAAAACCTGGCCCAGCTAGGGCATCCTAGCAGCTGTGCACATCAATAGTTAGAAGTGTATGACCTATCTCCAACAGCAAACCCAGGTGTCATTGAGAAGCAACAGCAGATGGGACCTATTAGGACTCCTTTCTCCTTTTGCCCTTTCAACATTAAGAAGCTGGACTGATATCATCCTACTATCATCTCTTTTGGACAAATAAACCTACAGTACACTTGGACTATTCAGGAAAGAAATTCCCTGAGAGGGAAACACTGGACTTCCCAGTAATTTGAATCAGGCAACTTCACACAATTATTTAAAAACAATAAAGGAGAAGTGGATATGCTGAGTTTATGAGGCAGATAATTCCAGAAACTCATAGGCATGTTGCACACACAATGCTGGGAGTGCCACCCATATTACAGTTGGTGTGACCAGCACCTCTGAACCTTGTTTGTGTGTAACCTCCATAGCCAGATGTGGTGACCCCACTTGTAAACAGGTCCACAGCCCTTTATCTGATATCCTTATACCTGAAACTATCAGAAAATATGATGTTCCTTTTAATTCCTTTTATGGAGAAATTTGCCCTGAATGGATATGTGTGTTTTTATTTATTTCACTGACAAAATATTAATGTGTTTGATCATAAGTTGTTATCCCCAACCCCACTGGATATATTACAGTATATATGCCATACCGAATTTTGAAAATATGAAGCTTTCTGAATTGCAAAACCCTCCTGGCCATAAGGCTTTAAATAGAGGACTGTGGAGCCACATATATCTCAAAATGTTAACTGTGGACATCACTGGATGGTGAGATTGTAGTTTATTTTTATTTCCTTCTTTATAATATTTTGCATTTCCCAAATTAACTGCACTATATACTATTATTATAATCAGAAAAGAAAATGTCACGTTTATAAGAAAACAACAGGTAGCAGCCCTTTGAACTTTCCTGAGCATATCCAAGCTATCCTCATGCATCCCTTGGCTCCGCCTCAACTGGGACAGATTTCTGGGCTGCCTCCAGAGACTGGAGCACAGTAGGGGACCCTGCCTTGCTCTTCAGCTCCTCCCAGCTCATTCTCACTGCACAGTTGCAGCTCCACTTCCCGGGTTTTTCACCCTCTTCATCAGTGCAAAAGTTCTTGCACTGAGCTGGCTCAATGCTCAGCATGCTTCCCACCCCCTTTCCAAGCAGCACTTCTGAAGTCCATCTTCCTGTCCATCTTCCTGTCCATCTTCCCCTGGGAGTGTCCTTAAAGAATGGAGACAGCAAGTTCTGTCCAGTCCTGGCCGCTCCTGGGCTCCTGATTTCACCCTGCCCCCACTGGAAGAAAAGCAGGGTGTTCGCTGGGATCTCTGACCTCAGCCTGCCATGACCCTTCCTACAGCTCCCCAAATCTGCTCAGCTCACTGCCACCCTCCCCAGGAGTACTGCCAACATGGAAAAACTTCCTGTTCAAACTCACCTCAAAGTAGATCCCCAGAGTATTTTTTTGCCTTGTTCAAGCCCACACGTGATGGAAATGATCAGAACCTAAGTGTGGGCATGATGCTCTTAAAATAACGCAGACCCTGGGGCCTTGCAGGACCCTACTGGATTTTGTCAGCTTCCTCAGGCCAGGGGGATGTCTCTTGGGCATGTACTGGCCTCAGAGCTCCCCTCCCCCTGCTTTGTCTCCATGGTTCTCCTGACTAAGAAATGTGGCCTAGGCAGCCACTCCTCTGACAAGCGCAAAGACTCCCTGCCCAAGACCATTGACAGAGCTCTTCTGGGGTTCTTGGCAGCAGCCCTGTATGTATGTGTGGTGTCCCTAAAGAGCAGCCTGGGAGGCACAGGGCTTCCTCCTCAACTCCCAGCTTACTCAGACCTGGGACAGAGAAGTGGCAGCCAGAATGCAGCCAAACAATTGACCCGGACTAACTGTGACTGCCATGACATTTAGCACATAATCATCTAAATCCTTACAACTCTCTTCTGAACCAGAAGTGACTTGCTCCAGATCCCACTTGCAGAGAAGGAGATGGAATTTGAATCCTCTTCTTGTCTGACTCTGAAGTCTTCATCACCTCACTGAACTTTGTGGCAAATTAACGCGTAATCTCTAATGCTGGAAACTCTCTTGTTTGACAGATGAGAAACTGAAGCAAAGAGCACACTGGAGCCACACCTTAAGGTTTTGATTCCACTGTGAGCATCCCTCTTACTGGCCTTGGTGCTGTCCCCACACCACCCACCCGCTCCAGCCTGTGGTTTGTAGGTCTTCTAGGAGTTCCGTGTTGTTTCTATATCTGGAAGACTTTTTGGTCTTGTTTGTTTCCTGAATTCTTTGTTTCTGTGGCCCAGAAGACGGAGCATATGTCACCCTGTCTTGAGATTCTTTCGAATAGAGCTGGCAAGGAAATGAGAAAGGATCCTAATTAGGGGGCAATAACCCCGTGGAGAAATTAGGATTCTTTGCAGTAGGCCGTGTCCTTCCCACAAGCCCTGTGTGTTTGTCAGATGTTTATAGAGCCTTCATTAAAGGAGAGCTCCCTTAGATAAGAGGTTGGAGCTCGACATCGAGGGCCAGATAAGAACAAGTGGAGGACGCTCCAGGACGGCGGGTGAGAGCCTGGGAACTGGCCAGGGCGCTTGGTGCAGAGTGGCGGGCAGGACAATGCAGGCCAGCTCCTCCTGGGCTCCTCTCAACGCCCGCTAACACAAGGTGGCTGCCGGCAGTCTCCTGTCCAGGGCAAACTCGCCGTCCCAAGATGTGCCACAGGGCACTGTGGGTGGCCCTGCCTGTGCTCTCCCTGCTGAGCTGCTCCGGGCAGGGGAAGCCTCTGGAGAGCCGGGGTCGGGCGTTGGCAGGGGGCGATGTCCACCACCTGCTAGGGGGGCCTGGAGATGAGCATGAGGGAGGCACCTTCGACCTAAGGATGTTCCTGGAGAACATGAAGGTGGATTTTCTGCGCAGCCTCAACCTGAGCGGGGTTCCTTCCCAGGACAAAACCCAAGCGGAGCCACCTCAGTACATGATCGACCTGTACAACAGATACACCACCGACAAGACGTCCACCCCCGCGTCCAACATCGTGCGCAGTTTCAGCGTGGAAGGTAGAGTTGGCTCCACCTCGGCACCTGGGGGTTGGGGGAAGGGCTCAGGGGTCCGCAGCTGCGCTGTCCAGTACGTTAGCCACTGGCCACACGAGGCTCTTTAAGTTTCAATTTAAATTAATTAAAATGAAGTAAAGTTAATATCCTTTAGTTTCACTAGCGTAAATTCAAATGTCTGACAGTCATACGACTACCCTACAGGACAGTGCAGATAATGGAATATTTCCCTCATCGCAGAAAATTCTACTGGGCAGCTCTGCTCTAGAAGATTCTCCTGCCCTGGGCCCGGTGCCACGTTTAATTCAGCCGGAGCTGGGGGAATGCCAGCTCTCTTTCTTCCATCCCTTCCTTTTGTCCCCCTTTCCTTACCATCCCCTTCCCACTTAGAAACAGATGACTCAGCCTCCAATCAACCAGATAAATTCCTCTGAGAGATAAATGTTGGAGGAGTACTTAATTATTTTATAAATAAAAAATAATTTTACTGATTTAGGAGGACTAGAAGATAACGAGTGTTAACCTTAGGGCTTATTTCCGCCCACAATGTAGGTGACTGATTTTGTAAGCAGAGAAACAAGGCTCACAGATGCTGTGGGAACTTGCCTAGGTCACCTATTGGTTAAGCAGCTGGATTCTGACCCAGGCCCACCTGTCTAGTCTTCCCTGCTGCTTCAGTCTCCCTCTAAAGAGCCAACAGCACCAGGCCTCTCTGCTCCTGGGCTGGATCCTTGTAAACTCTAGCAGGCCTTGCTCAGTGCCAGGGCAATCCAGACCTGCCTGGTCTGCAGAGTGTATGCCCTGTCTAAAGAACCCTGTGGTCACAATACATGCCCAGCAGTGCCAGATTTTCCGATTGCCCAACAGAAAAAGAAATCTAGTTTTTATGTAAACTTGCCTGATTTTTAAAACATGAGCTTTATTTATTTATTTTTAATGCAATCTGCCAGCATCTCACCAGGCCCATGGGGCATGTCTGTAAGTTCTGTATTTGGGGAAGGCTGGGCTTATTTGGCTGGACCTAATCACCAGATCCCATAGTCTGGGAATCCAGTGTTTAGAGCCATCTCGATAACACTCCTCCCCTTACCCTCCAGCATTGTCCATGTCCTGGAAATGAGTGCTCTGATCTGATCCTAGCTCTGCCTGTGGCCAGCACTCTTGTGGCAGCCAATTATGCTTCCCTTCACAGATTTCACAGCCGGTCTGAATGTGGCTCAGGAGGGAGGATGTCTGACTGCAGTTCCACAGCCATTATCAAGGCATGCCACAGTAAGAGCATATTAGGTCACTGATGCACCTCTCACAGACACTCCTCATTACAGATATACCACAAAAGCTCAGCACATTCTGTAGGAGCTGGAATAGCTGTGAGGGGGCCACAGAGAAATGTGTGAAAAGTCATGTGCTTTGGATGGGTGGCATGCTCTAGTGGGAAGGATGGTCGGGAGAGGACACGGAAATATTAATTGAGTATCTACTATGAGTCAGTGACAGTATTGGGTAAGTTCCATGCCCCATCTTGTTGAAGCCTCAGACTAACCCTGGGAGGCAGGAAGGATGAGCCCCAGTCTGTAGATGAGGAAACTGAGGCACAGAGGGACTCAAGACTTCTCTAAGATCATAAGCAAAGGAAGAGACAGAGTCACAATTGGCACTTTAGTCTATCAGACACCAAAATCTGCTGGTTTTCAGGACAGATATGGTCTGCCTTCAGTTAGCACATGGTAAGTTCTCATGAAATGCAACTTCTCTTCCCTCTTTGTGACCAAGCCATGGTATAAGAGACATGCTAATGGCCATGTGCTAGCCAGAAGTGAAAAACTGGACAGTTGTGTGGCTAAAAGGCAAGTCCCATTTTTGTCTGACATGACAAAGCAGTTGAGGCTAATATATATTTTTACCATAAACATTAAAAAAGTCATCTACTTTCACTTTGCTCAAAAGTTACAATTCTGAATGATTGTTCCACTATTTAAATGCAGAGATTTTTAATATTGTTTTAATGTTAAAATCTTACCTTCCCTCTCAGGATCTCTCCTTTAAAATTGGCACTCAGAACCTGACAGTGTATTTTATTGTTTTTTTTTTTAATTTGGTAATTTTTTAAGTGAGGATCTTTACAGAATGTGGGTACTTTCTCATTCAAATGCACTAATCCCAGGTTCCACATCTGTAAAAGCAGAATAGCATTAGATCTTTTCAGTGTCAGTGTGAAGAGTCAAGTGAAATATAGCAAAGCCCTTAGTGCAATGCTGGGCATGTAGTAGATGTTCAATAAACACCTGGACCTGCTCACTCCAATGAAAGGCATTTCCTGCATTTTCCTTTTTTTTTGGAAGATCCCAAATGTACCTTTCAGAATACTCTTCTACATTAAGAGCTCGAATGAAACAAAATAGAGATTTGATAATGTCATCTTGAATGTCCTTTCATCTAAGCTATGAGTCTCAGTCTTGTTGTCATAAACCAGACCCTCCCAGCAGATGCTCATCAATATGTATTTGCATTTCAGATGCCATGTCTATATCTGCCACAGAAGACTTCCCCTTCCAGAAACACATCTTGCTTTTCAACATCTCCATTCCTAGGCATGAGCAGATCACCAGGGCAGAGCTCCGACTCTACATCTCCTGTCAAAGTCACAAGGACTCCTCTCATGAGCTGAAAGGAAACATGGTCATTTATGATGTTCTGGATGGAGCAGACACATGGGACATTTCTGCAGGAACCAAGACCTTCCTGGTGTCCCAGGACATTCGGGACGAGGGCTGGGAGACCTTTGAGGTCTCCAGCGCTGTGAAGCGGTGGGTCAGAGCAGACTCCACAAAGAGCAAAAATAAACTGGAAGTGACTGTAGAGAGTCACAGAAAAGGCTGTGATAAGCTGGATATCAGTGTTCCCCCAGCCTCCAAAACCCTGCCCTTCTTCGTTGTCTTCTCAAATGACCGCAGCAATGGGACCAAGGAGACCAGACTGGAGCTCAGGGAGATGATCGGCCATGAGCAGGAGACTGTGCTAAAGAAGTTGTCCAGCAATAGCCCAGTGGGTGCAGGTGAGAACAAGGATGGGGTGGAGGATGTGGAAAGCCACATGGCTGTGGGGTCGTCCTTAGCCAGACGGAAGAGGAGTGCTGGGGCCAACAACCACTGTCAGAAGACCTCCCTCCGGGTGAACTTTGAGGACATTGGCTGGGACAGCTGGATCATTGCACCCAAAGAGTACGATGCTTACGAGTGCAAAGGTGGCTGTTTCTTCCCCCTGGCTGATGATGTGACCCCAACAAAACATGCCATTGTCCAGACCCTGGTGCATCTCAAGTTTCCCATGAAGGTGGGTAAGGCCTGCTGTGTGCCTACCAAACTGAGCCCCATCTCCATCCTCTACAAGGATGACATGGGTGTCCCCACTCTCAAGTACCACTATGAAGGGATGAGTGTGGCAGAATGTGGGTGCAGGTAGTGTCAGCCTGCATGTGGGGGAGGCCAGCTGGGGAGGGAGTGCTAGTGAGAGGTCTTATGTCCCCCTGAACAACAGAGATTAAGTCCATCTGCATGCCAGCCTGGAAGGAAAGGGAGCTGTCACATCCTCAAGGTAAAGGCCTGCTCTCCCTCTCATGGCTCAACCCATGCACACCACTGGGTTTAACTGCAAGGGAAAGTGATGTCAAGGGGAGGTATGGATCTGGGGAGAAGAGGGAAGCCTGGAAGGGTTGTTGGAGTGGAAAGGGATATGACGAAAGGGGAAAAAGAGAAAAATAATCCAGAATCAGTAGAACACTGAGCAAAGGTGAGCCAGAGGGGTATAGACAGGTAGAAGATGTGCAGAGACTTAGAGAAATTAAAGGAGTTGAGGAGGATAGGGCTTATTCCAATAACCTCAGGGAGTGCAGAGGAAAGGAACAAGGCTATATGCTCTACATCTATCATTTCACATATTCCCAAAATCCAGTGAGATGGGCGTTATGACTCCCAAATCTTTACATGCAGAATCCAAAACTCAGGCAGGTCAAGTAGCACTAGTCAATGGTCTGATTCCATCTCACAGGTTTACGTAAGTCTGTCCATCGCCAAAGTCCAGGACCTTCCCATGTGCCCCACTGCAGTTTAGCAGATCTTCTTGTAGCTAAAAAAAATTAGAAGTTGGGAGGTGGGGAGTGTGGGGCATTGGGCAGAGATTGGCCGGTTCTCACCAGTGTGACTGGACTGCCTGTCATATCTAGGACTCATTCTAACTGCTCAGTGTCTGTACTGATTCAATAGCCAAATGCTTTTTTAAGATCACCCCTGAGTCACTGAAAAGCTGCTCCTTAAACCAACTGCAGGATGGAGAAAGTGCAGGACAGCAGCACTCAGGCCACAGCATGCATTGTGGCTGGAGCTATTTTGACCTGCTGGCACAGTACTTGTATGGCCATCAGGTTCACACAAGGCCACTTCTTTCCTGTGGACTCAAACTGTGTGATGGTTTGGGAGAGGTGGGCACAACTTACCCAGAGGGATGGGGTGGCCTATGGCCTGCATCTCTGCAGTTACTTACTCAGCATAACCAACTCAACTGCAGTGGGCTTCCATCCACAGGGACTTCACATAGGAGACAGGGATCTCAGGAGAATTCAGGTTCTTATAGGCCACAGCCAGCTCTGCCTGCATTGCTGGCTTTCTTAAGTAGTGTGCATTCAGCCCCTGTCCTAGGCTTGAGCCCCAGAACCAGACTCAGACCTCACTGATCCTAAGAGAAGACAGAGTTCTGTTTCCTCTGCATTTCATTCTCTCCTCTGATTCTTGAGGCACACACAGAATGGGGTGGAGTGAAGAAAAGTCTGGAAGTGGTGACAATTTCACTCCATGGCCCTTCTGACCACTGGCCAAAGCAAAGCCTATAGGAGGTCTAGAGAGACCTGAGCCATTTCCACCGGTGGAAGCTCCCAGTTTATTAAAAAATGATTTGTGCTAAATGTTTACATGGAACCAATGAACAGCTTTAACATAAAAATGCAATAAAACATTGTTTAATTACTGGAGTTATAGAAAATAATAATTCCTGGTACAACAATGTTGTTCAATCATAAAATGAGTGATATCTTTTAGCCCTGGTGGTGTATTTCTGTGCCTGCATCGAAGTTTTACTTGGAAATAAAGTCAAACGTCTCTTCTGTGGTCTTTTGTGCATGTGAGTCCTAGGCCTGATGATCTCCCAGCCCCACACCCTGCCCACCCCTCCCTGTAGGCCCTTTCTTTACTACATGGGTGGAGGAGAAAGCATGGAGATGAGCTACCATGGGGCGATGGACACATGTGGGCAGTGTCCTTGCATGTGGGGGGGGAATGGATGTATCTGTATGAGGGCATGTATGTGGGTATGTGGGTGTGGGCATGAGCATGTGTGAGTATAGATAACTGTAGGTGGACAAGGATAGTTAATCACCATGCCATCATTGACCTCCATACATCAGAAGAGAGGCCCTGACTCTTGCTAAGAGACACATCGGCCCTAAGTCATCTGCACCCGGTGCCCACACAACTCTACCAGCATCTGCCTTCACTATACTCCTGCTCAGCTGCCTGACAATAATCAAACACCCTCAAACACACTCCCTGTTCTAAGCCTTTAGGTGACTGTCCTGGCTGCCCCACTCCCGGCTCCACAGCCCAAGTCCACCTTCTGGGACCCAGCTCTAGTGCCACCCGCTCTGGTCCCTCTCTCGACACTCTGATTCTGATCTTCCTGGCTCTGAGGAGCACTACACAGTTGTCACTGGCTTGACATGAGGACCCAATGGCCTCTTGTCTTGAGCCACCTGTGGCACCAAGTCCCCTGTAGACAAGGCACAAGAGCTTCCAGCCTCTGTCACTCCTGGAGGGCTGGCATGACCTGCGGCTCAGGACAAACCAATGTGGACAGATATGCTGGGACAGGACATGAAGAAGTGACCCCAAGAAATGTGCTCTGGCTCCCATTTCATGGCAGTATTATTCCACCAGCTTTCCCAGCACTGGTCCACCCCAATCAAAGCATGAAATGCAACAGCACCATCCTCTGGACACAGTTATGCAGCAAGTTAGGCCTCCACCTAAAAACCATCACTTTTACTGCTTCATTTGTAATGCTTCCTAAAGCATGTTCTTTTTTTCATATCAGGGTAGTGATGTTATCACTATCGCATGTATGAAGCTGAAACCCAGCAAAGTGATGAGTTGTCAGGATTGATGGCTGTCCCCTGCCCCTCGTGTAACCTACCCTTGGGAGCAAGGGGAGAGAGAGACTCAGGGATGCCAAGCAGAAGGCACAGGCAGACACAGAGAAACAGTGAGATGGGAGTAGAGCAGAGAGACTGTGAGGACAGCCACAGAGGAAGGCTGGAGGTGCTCCGAGCACTTAGCTGGGATTGGAATTTGCACTCAGTGGCTCAGACAACAACTATAAGATAATAAACATTTATATTTATTTTTACAAATGAAGGGGAGATGGAGGCATACAAAGGTCTCACATTTTGCTCAGAGCCACTACTAGCCAGGAACTGCTAAAGCCAGGATTTTAACCCCAGTTGTGACACCAAGCCCATATACTCTCTGTTGCACTGGCCTCTACCCCAAAGCCTTCCTTAAGGTCAAGGTTACAGTCACACTAGCAGGAAGAATCAAAGCTACAGCATGAACCAAATGAACCAGATAAAACCTATGCTCTCCTGGACAGGCATTGCCCTTCCCTGGACTCTGTCTCTGCTTATGTAGGGTCCTCTAGTCAGCTAGACACCCATAGGGCACTATTTACTGGAGAAGGAAGAGAAGGACGCCCCTCTCTCCTTTGGTTAATGCTCTGTTAACATGTTCACTAAATATTGTGGCTTGTACCTCTTCCCGAATTTTGCCAAAATTGGTAGAAAGGAATTCCTGGATCAAATTCAATTTTGATTGCAGCCTTCACTTTTCTAAGCCTGTCTTAATTCCCATGTGAGCTGGGCTAATGCAGGTGAGAGTGGGAGTTCACATCACTCCGAAACTCTTTTTCTCCCATACACCAAAACTTTGGTTCCATATCCAGCTTGTCTGACCAGCTTCCTCTGTCATGGACATAAGTTCCTTCCCAGTGTCCCTTAGAAATCTGCAATGCCTGACAATGGGGCCTCTGTATCTGGTCGCATCTCAGAGGCTCCAGGAATCTCCTATATCATCACCTTGGGTGGTCTTTATAGTAGTAGGTGGAGGAAGCAGAGGCCCAAAGGGCGCAAGGCATGTAATGGGGAGCCCAGGCCAAGCCCACCTCTGTGGGTGCTCCATCTACCTAGACAGCTCCTGCAACAGATCCCAGTCTTTAGCTTTGATGGCAATAACTGACATGAAGAGAGCCAGCCAGGCTATACTGGCCTCTTACCCACAGAGGACCGGTGCTCTTGAATGCACACAGGTACAGGTGTGTGGCCTGGGCAGTCAACTGCACAGGGCCCACTTGGTTTCATGTTCTGCTGTCACCATTCTGAAATTCATAACAGATTTTGAATAAGGGTCCCTCATGTAGCTGATGTAGCTGATCCTGTATGCATGTGTGTTTTCCCACATATCAGGGATACTCTGGAGGCCATTTCAGTCTTCAGCACTGACTTGATTCTGATGGGACAGGGAGCCTAAGATTTGCTGCTGAGAGCTTGCCCCAGGGTCTGAGCTAGAGGACCACCATTCCTCTTCCCCAGAGACTTCTCTAATTTGTGACCAATGGCAGCAACATGGTTCAGATCTCAAAGGCTGGCTTCTTACATACATATGGAAGCTCCTTAGGGGGATCCAGATTCCTGGGAAAGTCAGATCAGTCTGTTTGAAGGGTCTCGCTTTCCGAAGGGTCTCGCTTTCCCCAGACTCTCCTTAACAAGGAAACGAGACTACACAGTTGGCCCCACCTGTTTCCATCCCAAACAAGGTGTCAGGTGGGCAGATGGGTGGGGCCACTCAGCTGTTGTTCCAATGACTTCTGGAGAAAAATTTGATTCTTATCATCAGTCGGGCCCAGGAAAAAATGAACAAGGAATTAACCATAGTTCATTAAATTATTTTCTTATTTGTTGGTCATTTTAAATAGTTTCCTGTTTTTCACTATGAAAAGCAATGTTCAGTGAACATCAAGATTTCTCCATATTTAAGAGTTTTTGAAGATGGAGACTTAAAGTCAAGATTCCTATATCAAAGAGTATGAGCATCTTGAGGCTCTTTAATAGAACTTCCTTGTTCTTATCTGCATTCCTTTGATTAATAGTGATAATATCCACCTTTACTGAGGCCTTGCGGAGTGTCTGAACTCTAAGTCTCAGAGACCTTAGACTGGGGACCCAGGAACCATTTCCCAGGCCCCTTCTGGAGGGGATGCCTCAATGGCTCTAGGTCTGTGTTCTGCACAAGTGAGCATGTGTTCTTATTGTTTTGGGGGCTGGCCTTGCCTGCTGCATCTTGTTGATACGGGTGTTTTCCTGA